TACCGTGCCGACAGTTGTGCTGGTAATAAGTACCAGGGCCCGTGCGAGGGCCCCGCCGCGCGTTACCGTTACCCCCAACTTGGGGCCGGACCCCCCTCCGTAACGGGCGTTACCCCCCCCCAATAAAAAAACAAATTCATGTTGCCCGTCGCAGTCTGGAGATCGACGCGCCGCGCCTCGACCCCAGGGCCCGTCCCCACAGGGATCGAGCGCAGCTCGCGCGTGGCGCCAGTGCCGGCGAGCGGCACTCGCTTGCCGCTAACTTTCACCAAGCGCGCCACGGCCCACTGCCGCGCGCGGGCCTGCCGCTGGAGCTGTCGCTCTCGCCCATCCGTCCAGCGACACAGGGCCCATGTCCACGGACGCGACGGCCAGCGCGGCGCCAGGCGATCCCCCGCCTGCCAGAGCCTTGATCGTCGCAGCCGCCACGGCCTCAAGCTGACCCGCCTGCGCCGCAGGCTGCGTCTGCGCGCCGGCGCCGCGTGGGTCCGAAGCCGAGGCAGAACAACCTCCAGGTTTCACGGCAACTTCTGCTGTCTTGGCCGCCGCCTCGCGCTTCGGGCGCGTGCAGGCGTCCTCGGGGTGTTCCTTGCTTCCGCAGTTCAAGCATTTCCACTCGTTGGTTTGCAGCTTACGGTGCGCCCACGTGCGCGCGCCGCCCTGCTTGCGGCCCGCATCGGACTCGAAGAACTTACAACACTTCGGTTGCTCCGAGCCCTTGGCCGTCCCCTTCGCTTTGGCCTTCGCCTTGGGATCGGCCTTAACCTGAGCCTCGCTGGTCGCCATGCGCTTCCTCACCGTCTTGACCGTGGGCGCGGGCTCCTGGCCGTGGACCTCACGAGCCTCGGCGCTCAGGTAACGCCGAAACTCGTCCCCCTGGGCCTGATTGCAGCACGAAGTCCCTGACAACCCATGCAGGGGGGGCCCATGCCAAGAAACACCCTGCTCGCCTCCAGAGTGCCCTGGGTTTCTTGGGTTTCGATGGTTTTGCGATGGAAGGCGTGACGCTCCCACGCCAAGAATCGAGCGTCCTGAGGTCTCAGGGTTGGATTTCTCGTGGACGGCTTCTTGTGGAGGGACCACTACTGTACTGGAAGGCCCCGTCGATTTCCGACATGCGGCACACCATGCCTCTTCAACGTCGAAAGCTGCACCGTGGAGTCGGGGGCTGCCATCCCCAACCTCTGCATCCGGGTGGGGTCGGATTTCCACTCTGGAGGTTCTCGTACACGTCTGCGACCTGGTCGAACGCCTGCTGGCCTCTTCTCTCCACCGCCTTCAGCGTGGCCTCCCAGTCCTTCAGCGTTCCTGTCCCAGCCTCGACCATCGCCGCGAAGAGGATGTCGGCCACCGCGGTCTGTCGGGTCGCCGAGCACTGCTTCCTGATATGCTCACCGGCAGCGCATGCCACAGCACAGGCCAGCACACAGGCACAAAGACGCAGCACAAGCCAGAGACGCAGCTCAACGATCCTCAGTTCGGCCGGCATCATGTGCGCAGCTGGCCTGATGAGAGGCCTCCTGAGGGGGCCGCGCAACACTCTTCGTCGAGCGCGTTCCACTGCTCGCAAAGTAACTACTCGCAAATAGCCTGGATCCCCCGCGGGGGAACTACGATAAATCTCATCGAAGCGAGCCTATGTTTTTCGGACGTGTGCGAGTAGGCACTTTGCGAGTAGTGGAACGCGCTCGGCGAACTCTTCCGCCTTGGCCCAGAAGGCCTCCACTGCAGGATGAAGTCCGCCGATCCTGATGCGGGCCCGTTGGAGCCAGTCCTCGACCGTCGATGCCTTACCGACGCCCTTACCCACTCGAGCGTCGGCACGGTGGTGTCCCTCAGACGCACCAGCGCCGCCGTCAGCGTGCCAGCCCTGTCACCTGGCAGCTCTCCTCCCTCCGCGCCTCCTGTGCCGAAAGAGGGGGGGGGGGGGCGGCGGCGGCGGCCCTCCTCCAGGGTGTCCCAGGGGCCCGCAGGGGCCAAAGTTGCTAGGCAGTCCTCCTGGACCGACTGCTCCTGCTCCGCCTGCCCCTCCTGGGGTTCCTCCTCCTGGCTGGCTTCCTCCAGGCGGGCTTCCTCCTCCTCCAGACGCCCTGGCTGCCACATCTAGGGAACTGGCCCCAGTGCCCAGCCTGCAAGGCCCAGTCCTGGAGGCCCCACTGCTGCTGGCGCTGCTGCTGCTGCTGCGGGCGCTGCTGGGGGCTGCTCGGACGGCGGGCCTTGCTCCGAAGCTTGCGCCCGGCCCTCGCCGGCCTGCTGCAGCCCTTCCAGCACCTTTCATAGGGGCAGGGACCCGGTCCAGAAATAACCCGGGCCAGGCGCGGATGTCATTAACAGTTTATATGTGGGTTTGGCTTTTTTTCGCCGTGCCCACTTGCCTTGATGAGGTTATAGGTGGGGGTAGAGCCCCGCTACCAGGAAATCGGTGGGGGGTGGGCAAAGAGGATTGCGCTCGCACAAGAGCGCGCAGCTCGGACTGCGCACGCGCTCCATTACAAGGAGCGCTGCGTTTGAATAGCTCTAGACCCGCGGTGGCAGGAGGAGGAGGCAGGAGAAGGAGGAGCAGGAGGAGAAGGAAGGGCATAGAGCTGATGAGGATGAGGGTGAGTAGGGGAGGAGGGCAAACGAATGGGGGGAATGATGGGAAGGATGGGTGGGTCGGCGGAGGGGGGAGGGGGAAGAGGAGGACGTGGAGCAGGAAAAACGGGGAGAGATAACAAAGAGGAGGAGGCAGAGGGGGGAGGCTGGAGGATGAGGAGGGGTAAGGAGAACCGAACTAGGAGGAGGAGCATGGGGGATAATGAAGAGGAAGGGCAGGATATTCAGGGATAGAAGGAGGAGGTCAACGAGCGAACGAGGAGCGATAGTCAAGGGGAGGACGACGATCAGGATAGAGGGAGGAAAGCAATGACGCGCAGGGGATGCGGTCGAGGGGGTGAGGAGGGGAGCGAACAGTCAAGGAAAAAACTGGAAAAAGGGAGGAGTGAAGGAGTGATGGACGAGGAGGTAGAGGGCGGTTGCGAGTAGGGATGACGAAAAAGGCAGACAAGACCCGCGGCCATCTTTCTAACATGAGGAATGCCGAATAAGGAGCGCAATGCCCTTCCTGGCCACGGCAAAACCTGAGCGCGAACAGGTTCCCAACCGTAGATCTACAGAACGGCCCGACAACCATAGGCCCTCCTGGGCCCGCAGTGGTCCCTATGTCAGCGTTTAGTCTGCACGGCCAGAGTCATTCTTAACGGGGCCTCCGCTGCGACGCATCGCTCATGTCTGACGTGAGGTTGGCTGCGGACTACGGGCAAACCCAGGAGTGACAGAAGGGAACGCCGAGGTGCAACGGGCCCCGACTCGAGACCCAAAGTTGTCCTTATTCCAGCGCGATGGCTGCTGTGTTGGCGTTGGCGGGCTGGCGCAAGCCTATCGGAAGATAACCAGAACGTCCCCGAACTCGCCTTCGGGGGGCTTCGCGGGCCACGACCTATCCCCCCTCCGTTTTGTTTGCCCCTTGGGGCCGAGGGGTGTGGGCATGGGCAGAAGTGAACGGGAGGGCATCGGCGGGGGGTCGGGAGTGGGGGCGCATTGAGCACCCTCGAAAAAAAATTGCGTTGCACGATCGGCCAGGCCACCGAAGACCCCCGCGGGCGAGGCTTGTGCCCTCGGTGCCGAGTCGTCGGGAGAAGGGATGTTTTCAAGTTGAGTCGAGGGCGCGTCGGGCGCACTCCTCGCCTCGCAGTCCAGCTCGGCACCTCCGAGTCACTTGATGACGATGGAGGCGTCGAACGCGTCCTCGGGGAGGGTGGCAGAGGGATGCCGAGGACCGCCCGCCTCCATGCGGGCCAGAGGTGTGGGTTCTCAGTGTTGTGTAGGGCGTTCGGGGTGTTAGGGTGTTGGGGTTAGGGTGGTAGGGTTAGGGTGGTCTCGGGAGTGTGTCGGGGTTGGTTCGGGCGGTAGGGGTTAGGGTGGTAGGGTTAGGGTGGTCTCAGGAGTGTGTCGGGACTTGTCGGTGTAGTGCGTTAAGGTTAGAGTGCGGGTGGTACGGTTGCGGCTAGTTCCGCACGCAGGGCGAGGGCTTTGGCGTCGGGGCCAGGGCGCCAGCGTTAGGGGCGCTATGGTTTGGGTGTTAGGGACGTGGTGATACGGGTAATGTGTACGGGTTAGTGTCAAGGTGGTATGTTTCGTGTCCTAGTGTTAGACCGCTTAGGTGGAATCGGTCGGGTTAAGGGTTTAAGATTCGGGGTGTCAGGTGTGGGGTTCGTGCTTAAGGTCGCTGTGCTAGGGACAGGGTTACGAGTCGTGTTTAGGTGATATGGGTTCAAGGGTAAGGTGTCTGGGTGTTCGGGTTAGGGTTTGAAGCGCTGTGACAGTGTGGTACGCAACAGTTATTTGAGCTACGCTTTGTGCTTACGTATGTACTGTTAGGGGTATGCTCAAGGTGGTATGGTCACGGTGGAGGGGCAGACCAAGATGAGGAGGACGACGAATGCGATGGTGGAGGGAGGCTGGGGAGACAGGACGAGGAGGCGATGGTAACGAGGAGGGCGAGGGTGAGGATCAGGAGAAGGGCGATGAGGATGGTGAAGGGCGCGTGCACGTTTGCACACAAATCCAACACGTAGTGACTAGCGAACGGTTTCGCCTCCTGATCTCCTTCAGCTGCTGTCCGAGCTCGACGATGAAGACGAAGAGCTCGACCTCGAACTCTTGTCCCCGACGTCGATGCCACCTGCAGCTGCAACAAGGTCGCCGCCAGCAGCGGCCGCAGGGAGTCCGATGTGCAGCTCGCCGCGCCACTCGTCGTCGGGGCCTCCAGGCACCGCGTAGGGCTCCGTGCTGCTGCTGGCCAGCCAGTCCCGCACGGACGTCGGCGCGCCCTTGCCCGTCACGATGCGGTGCTTCTTCCACAGCCACTGCACCACCGTGCGGAGGGCGACGAACACCATCGCGACGCCATCGCGGTCTCAGGTCTTGCTCCTGGTCTTCTGCAGCAGTTGCTTGGGCACCCCCGCTGGCAGCGCGACGCCGTCGTTCAGGATGTACCTGGCCGTCGCAGTGCACTTGCGCTGCACGCGGCTGAGCTCGATCCTCAGGGTCTTGTCCTCATCCTTGGGCGGCTTCAGCAAGTCCCACCAGTCGGGGAGCGTCTTGACAGCGTCCTTGCGAATCAACGCCGCCTCCTCCGTGAACACGTCGCGCTTCCGTTTTATCCCATGCATGTCTTTGATCTGTTTCCTCTTGGCCGCCAGGGCCATGGCCTCGAACTCTCTGACGTTCTTCTCGTCCAGCATGCCGAGGCACTCAACCACTGGGTCTGTGATCTCCGTCTCCTCTAGCTCCTCTGCCGTGGGCTGGTGCAAAATGTCGGCGATCAACGCGTCGGTGAACTCCTTCGGGCAATCGGCTGCGAACACGTGCTGCACGAGTGCGACCACGAGGTCGCCCTTCTTCCTCGCGTGGTGCTCGTCATGGCAAACGGCCAGCACGAGCTTCAACATCGCCGTGGTCAGGTCGATCTTCCGCAGTAGGGCGAACCGCAGGACAGACATGGGCCCCGACGTGCACTGCCAGACGATCCGCGGCGGGTCCACATTCGTCACACAGGGCGGGGCAACCTCGGTCTCGAAAACTTGCCAGTCATGGAAACTGTACACGAATGTCATAATCGGCTGGGCAGCGTACCGAATCTCGAACGACAGCGGGTCCGCGCTGACCTGATCCATCGGCCATATCCAACAACAGTACTTAGCTCCACCAACGACGATGCCGATCGTGCCATCTCGAACTGATTGAACTACAGTAGTTGGTACCATGAGCGATGCCAGCGAACCAGTTCTCAGATCGATCGCCTCACCACCGACGCTGTCCGCCAGTCCCATCATGTCTGCATGCCGAAGCCACTTTCATGCCGCAACTCCAATCGCACTCTTCTCTGGTGTCTTCGAAAGCCAACTTGTGCGAGGCAGCATGAGTTCAGACCATTCTGGTGCAAGCCTGTGCCCTTCCTGATGCCGCATGTTCCGACTGGTGACCACCTCGCCCACGCTGCCAGCAATATCGACGTAGGGGGGCCCCCGCTCTTGCAGCAGCGTGCTTGTGATGCACTGGTGATGCCGCCTTGCAGCGGTAGGGACGTCGCTCAATTGCCCCATCGTCATCCTCCTCAGCAAGTTGTTCGTATTCTCGATGATGAGGGAGTCGCCGAAAGTACTGAACGCGTCCCATACCATGTCAAACCCATCCTGGTCGACGCTGGTGGCGTCCAGCGGGCGGTCGAACATCTGCATGATGATCCTGTTGGCGGGCATCTCGATCCACTCCACTTGGCTGAGGATCTCCTTGGCGTCGTCCCTCGAGTGCTTAGCCTTCTCTAGCCTGAGCGCGGTGGCCCAGTCAGCTCGGAACTTGTTCACAGCCGCAAGCTGGGCCTCCGCGGTGACACCATCTGCCAGGATTGCCGCAAATGAGCCAGGGTAGGACGCGTAGTGCTCGGACGAGCTGGTACACCTCGTGCCCGCAAGCTCGCACGCGAACTTGGTCGCGACGGCGCACGTGCTGCGCTGCATGGCAAGCGTCTCGGGCGAGAGCGCGCCGTCGCCTTGCGGGCCCACGAGGACGCCCATCAACCTCAAGGAACGTGGGCCCGCGAGGGCATTCGTCAGGCTGGACCGCAATGGGGACGTCCACCCGCTAGTCGCCAAGTCTGCGTAGTGCATCCTGTTCTCATCAGCGTTCTTCTTGGTCTCCGTCACCGTCCCAAAGTGGTACCAGTACGGCTCGACAACTGAGTACAATATAGTCATGTCTTGCTTGAGCTCGCTCGTCAGCAGCTTTGCCCCAAGCGATATGCCGTTGGAGTTCTGCTTGAGCTCGCGCAGCTCCTGTCTGTAGTCCTTCGGGGCTGTGCCCGCTGGGACTCCGTGGAGCATCTCCTCGACGAACTCCTCCTCGCCCTTGCCGTGGAACAGGATGTGGTAGTACCTGTAGGCCTCTCGCAGCAGGGCCCAATCTGCCATCAAGTCCTTGAGCGCAGCGAAGAGGGAGAACCACCTAGCCTTCTTCACGTGTTTGCCTTTCTTCTGCAGCAGCTCGGCCTCGGCGCAAACGCGCATCATATCCTCCATGTCGGCGCGGCTCGTGGGGGAAGCCATGCCCCTGTCCGATGCGATCTCGTCGGCCGCAGTCTGGAACCACTCGCTGTCGATGGTCGACGTCGAGAGAAACTTAGCGAAGAACTCCTTCCGCGAAGCGAAGAACTTTGACTCCGACCACGGCCCATACGGAATGTTGCACACGTGCGTCAAGGACAAAATTGACCGCCTCAGCCTCGATGTTTTACCTGCCGCGCCGAGCACGTCGTTCCAGCACCGATGGTAGATATCCCAGCTCATGAGCACGAGCAGCTTGCGCTTCTGCGCGGCGAAGAACATGGCACTGCGGCCGATGCTGCACTGGTCCATGCTGGTCACGAGGAGGCGCGGCAGGCCGACGTCAGGGAGCTCTCGATATTGCAGCTCCGTGGCAACGTTCACGATGACCCGTCAGTCGGATGGCGAATTCTGACCTGGGGGCAGGGCGGGGCAAAACGCCACAGGGACATCAGAGGAGGGTTTTGGGCTGTGGGCAAGAATCGGGCAGGGTGGAGGAGTGGGGTCGGGGTCATGTGCGGAATGACGACGGGAGGAGATGATGTTGATGATGATGACGCAGATGGCGACGTTGATGATGGTGAGGATGGTGTTGGTGATCAGGATGCTGTCGGTGGTGGTGATGCTGGTGGTGAGGTTGGCGCCGATGGTGGTGATGGCCATGCTGGCGATGATGATGACGCTGATGTTGTTGCGACTGATGGGGATGGTGATGATGATGACGATGCTGATGATGCTGGCGATGATGATGATGATGAGGTTGATGGAACTGTTGATGATGATGATGATGATGTTGCTGCTGCTGAGGGTGATGACGCTGGTGATGATGATGGTGATGACGGTGAGGTTGATGCTGATGATGGCGATGTTGATGATGATGTTGATGCTGATGTTGGCAATGCTGCTTATACTAAGCTGTGTCAGCGGCGATGCTGTTTACGAGTGTAGCGGGGGGGACGTAGAACGGTCTTGGGACGTTACTCTGTCACCCCCACGCCCCGATGGGCGCCCATGGATCTCTTGCCCCCCCCCCGACTTTCTCCAGAACGTGCTTGGATTGAGTGGGTTCGGTGTGCTAGTCCTCCTCATTGCCCACCTCCCCCCACCATCACCGCCTCCCTGTATCCCCCTCATCATCCCCCTCCCCTCTCACCCTCCTCCCGTCCTCCACTGTGTGCCATTGCGCGCATTTGCTGCGCCACCCAGCGGCCTCGTCGGGGCCCATCGCGCGCGCGAAATACTGAGGCGGCACCCTGAACGCGTCGAGCTGCAAACCAGCCCCCGCCAACATGGCGTTGTCCACGCACTTCAGGAAAGCATAAGCCGACGTTCGCTCCAGGGCCCCGCTGCGACGCACTTCGGCGACCGAGGGGAACAGCGCCTCGTCAGTCATGTCCAGCTCAGGCAGGGGCGGCACAACCTTGCAGGGCGCATCAATGGCCACCGCACGTCCCCCCCCCCCCCCCTCGCACGAGGACCCCCTGCATTGGCCGCTGCAGCTGGCAGGGATCAGCGCTCGACCGAATGCGGATCCCTATCAGCATGGCCCTCGCGGGGCCACGGCCAATGCAAGCAGTCGCCAGGGTTGCGCCCCTGGCCGAATCACGCTCCCTGGGGCCAGGGCAGGCCAGGCCAGGCCAGTTCAGGACGGGACAATGCCCTTCCACCTCCACCTGGTTTGGGGTGGGGTTGTGGGCGGCTCTATGGGCCAACTACAATACAATACGTCAAAGCACGTGTATACACATACATATGCACCACGCATCGTCGTTCCTCCCCCTCCGATCTCCTTCGCCACTATATCCTTGGGCATCCTCTCGGGTTGGCGCCCCTACTGCGCTCATCGGCGTTTGCACTTGCAGTTCACACCAGCCTCATCCGAATACGTGACACCGAAGAAAGGGTAATCAGGGTCCTGCAGACGCGGTAGCCAATGTCGAGTCCTGTGCGAACGAGCGTGGAAGCGTTTACCATCTAAGGTCTGCCAAATACACCTTGTGATGCATTTGGCGGCCGTCGGCGTTGGGCGTTGTTAAGGACGGAGGGGGGGGGTGAGGGCGGAATAGGGGTATAGGAAACTGTCCAGGATTTGTTGCGTTTGTAGGGCTCGGGGCAACCGGTGAACACAGGCCAATACGCTTGGGCATGTGAGCGCCAGAGCATATACCAAGCAATGTCGACGCCAGCATCGCGATGCCACCTGCACGCGTTAGCCAAACACCTGAACCTGTGTAAGTACGGCTCCGCTTCCATGATCCACGCGATGTCGGCAGGGTCAAGTTCTGGGCCGAACGCGGATGACAGGAGGGCCGATGTCGAGGGCGAGTTGCGGGCGGATGCGTTCTGGCCATGATCGCGCGTTGCGGGCGCAGCCTACCCCGCGGCAAGCGCCATCTTGGGCAGTAGTTGCTAAAGAGAGATGGTGGCCAGCGTCAGCCCCGCACAGTGCACTCATGCACGTTATGTGGCGCAATCTACGCGGTGTAAGCTCCGTGGTGCAACCATTGGCGTGATGCACCCTACGCGGTGCAGTCTCCGTGGTGCAATCTATGCGGCGCAGGGTGGTGCAACCTACGTTGTGCAAGCTACGTGGTGCAAACTATGTGGTGTAGCCAGCGTAGCGCAACACATGCGGTGCAACACATGGGGTGCATTATATGCTGTGCTGCCTACATGGTGCAACATGTGTGGTGCAATATACGTGGTGCAAGTTGCTGAGAGGTGCGGTGGTGTGGTGGGAGCATATTGGTGCAATCTACGCGGTGCGATCCACACACGCAAAACAGGCCTTGGCAATGCAAATGCACGCGCGTGCAATATCCAGTGGTGCGGTCTTAAAAAATATACGCATACGCGTGTGCGCGACGGCTCGGGAACGTCACGCTGGGCGTGTATGCGCGCGGGCTCGGGACACACAATGAAGATGGTCGCCCCCGCATCCCCTGCTCGCGCGCCTCCGCGCGCTCGGCGAGAGAAGGCCACGGTGCGAAAACAATGGCAGGGAGCAATATGCGAGATATCTGAAGGGCACACATAACAAAAACCTCTCGGACATACATCGGACACCTGCCATACACCGTTACACCCAAGAGCACCCGTAAGAACCTACACGCTGCCAGCTGACATGGGGCACGACACACGACGGCGACGAGGGTGCCAACAGTGTTAGGTTAGGACACACTGTTGGGGACCTCAGGGCATCATCAAACACCTAAGGGAACCGACTCACCCCCCTAGGATCACCACCACAACTACGGAGGACAGCAACTCGCCCTCCTCCTCCTCATGCCCACGTCCTCCTTATGTTTCTCCTTCCCCTCCAGCGTACGACCATGCTCCTCCACCTCGTCCTCGTCCTCCTTATCGGTATCCTCACCCTCGCCATCGTCATCCTCATCAGTAGCACCGTCCTCCTCGTCCTCCTCCTCGGCGCCCCTCCCTCCTCCGATGGAAGTCCTTCCCCCCCTCCTCCTGCTCGTACCCCTCCTTAGTTTACGGGAAACGCCATCGGGCACCTAACGGGCGCAGGGTATGTTAGGACAGTTGGGACCAACAATAGGAGAAGCGAGCGGCAACCATCGGACACCGAAGGGGACCTTTGGAAACCAAACGGGCCCTTGTAGTGCAACAGTCTGCAAAGTTACCGAACTTGGCCAGGTGTCGTGCCCTGTCGCGCCCATGCACAAAAACGCAGCGGCTAGTCAGCCAACACCAGGCTGTCACACACTCTGGTGTTATGTTGCTATTGGGGCACGGTCGCCCTCGGGTGCTCTTGGCATTTGGGGCCCAATGGGGAAAATGTCAGTCAGTACAAGGGCCCATTCCGAATTTGGGAAAATTAATTTTCCTTTTTTCCTTAATTCGCATCAATTTTCGTTAATTCGCATTAATTTTCCTTAAGCTGCATGAATTCAGTCTGAACAGTAAGAATTAAGTTTCCTTTTTTCCTCCTTAATTCACATTGCTTTCCCGTATTTCGCAGTTTTCCTTAAATCGCATTAATTTTTCCTTAAATCGCATTAATTTTCCTTAATTCGCATTAAGTTTCCTTAAGTCGCATTCAGTGGCTCTGAACCGTAAGAATTAAGTTTCCTTTTTCCTTTAATTCGCACTAATTTTCCTTAATTCGCATTAATCTGCCTTAAATCGCATTCAGTAACCCCGAATAGTAAGACTTAATGTTCCTTATGTTTCTTTAATTCGCGTTAATGTTCTTTAATACGCATTATTTCCAATAATTGGTGCGCCAACCCCTTGTCGCTATTTAAAAAGAAATCGCACCATTACGCCATCCATTTCGGAAATGAACCGCCCTCCGCCCGTCGGCCTGCTGGCGCATCCGCGCCTCGGACTCGGGCCAACGGGGTTTCTGCCCCAGGGCCTTCGGCGCAAGCGCGCGTATGGGTGCATGTGGGTGGGCGTGTGCGAATGTGTCCGTGGTGGCTGATGCGCGTGGGCGCGGGAGTGCGAGTTGGCAATGTGGGGGGCAAGTGCAAGTTGACGCGGGCCAGCGCAATCTGACGCAGAGAGGCGACAATCGGACACCACAGGGACACCATTCGAAACTCACAGCAAGCACACAGGCACCAAAGGGTCTTGGGCACCCAAAGAGACACCATACAACATCACAAGACATCTATGTGCACTCTCAAAGAGCAGTTGGGCACATACGGACACCAGTAGGACCAGGGGAAACATCGGGAGGCTTGTGGGAAACATATAGTAATCACAATTCTGACACCGCGGGAGCATCCGTTTAAACCCAATTGGCCCCGAGTGGAACACCACCAGGACACATATTGGCAACATACGGGGCATCTACAGAACGCCCATGTCATGGCAGACCAAAGGCAACCCCAGGCATACCATAGGATACCACGTGTAAGCCGTTGGATACTCAGGGTAAGCCATGTGCGTTCTAGCGACCACTAGAGACCTTGATCAGAGACCTACCGCAAACCATCGGACGGGGAGGGACGGCGAATATGACAACCATTGAATCGATCAGGATGGCTATCTGCCCAGGGGTCTCACTACCATTCGACCCCACTATCGTTCTACCGATCTCACGATGCATTCATCGTCCGATCCCGCTGTCTATCAATAGGGATAGCAGGATAACCAACCAGGACATCCATCTGATATACCAGTATCAGTGTGTGTACACATGTGCTACACATGTGCAGCCACTTGTGTATATATATATATATGTGCATATATGTGTGCCTATGTAAATGCAGAGGGGGATCTATGCATACGCATGCCACTGTATCGTCCTTCGCTCCTCTCCGTCCCCCAAACTCCATCGTCAT